ATGTAAGTCCGGCCACCCCACTTGAAAAGCAAACGCCGACACATTACCCTGATCGCGGCCCCCTTCGGCCCCCAGCTGCCCCGGCCTGCCTGCTCCCTGGCCCCTCGGTCCCTCGCCCCCCCAACCCCCAAACCTGCAGCAGCTGGGTGAGCTTTGATTCCCGGAACGGCACGTGCGCGCCGCCGCCCTCCGCCAGTGCATCAAACACGCGGCGCAGCGCCAGCAGCGACTGGTTGATGCGCTTGCCCTCCGCCATCCTGCGGGGGGGCGGCGGCGGGGCCGGCAGTGTTTAACTGGGTCGTCCCGTCAAATAATCAAAAGCAGAGTTCTTGTGTGGTTGACGGGGAGGCTAGCAGTTTCATGTCCTACCCCTCGGCTCGCCCTTCTGGGCCGGGAATCACGCGGCGCAGCGCGGATGGCGCAAGAGGCATACACATACATCCAGGATTCTCTGCATGCTGTGTAAATCGGCCTGGCTTTCGTCGACGAACGAGCGAGTGAGGGTGGCGGCACACACGTCCCGTTCACGCGCATAAATCCCTGAACCCTGGGGCCCCAAGCAGGGTTCAAGGTGAAAACCCCTGCACCCGCAAGTACACACAGGACAAGATATCACCAAGCACCCCCACCTGTCGCGTTCAGCGGCAGAGCCGTAGCTCGTCTCCGCCCCCTCAGACCCTGCCAGGTCCACGAGCGTCAGCCGCCCCCGCATCGTCTGCCCCCGCGGCCCGCCGCCGGCCGCGGTAGACTCGAGGGTCACGCGGCAGATGAGGTGGGAGCGGGAGCTGTGCTCGTTCTTGTTTGTGCAGGCGGTCTGCGTTGTTTTTTTTTGGGGGGGGGGGGGAGTGGTGTTCTCAGCAGTGCGTTTTGATCAAATGCCGGCGCCTTGTAACGCAGACAATCTTGCGCAAAAACGTCGAGGGATGGACGCGCGATCGCGGCGGGCGGCCCGGCGCCCGGCCGCAACCTCGGCCTCGGTCCCGTGCCGATCGCCGCCGTGCGGATATGATCATAGCACATCAGATCAGACCAGGCCAGACCAGATCTTCACCTTGCGCTTGTCGTTGCCCTTGTAGATCATCATGATGGTCTCGTCGGCGTTAGTCATCTCCGCCTCTGCCAGCCCCGGGATTTTGTCGTCCAAGATCACCAGGCCGCCGTCACTGGCCCTGCTTGGCGACAGTCAGACACACCACATCAGGATATGAGATGGCAGCATTCAGATCGATGCTGCATTGTCCGAAGTCAATGATGCGGCGTTTTGCAAGCCGCATGCGTGGGACCAAGGTCCCCAAACTGGCAGGCGGCCGCTTGCCCGTGGCCGTGGCTGGCGTAACCTGGCGCGGCAGCCCGGTGTCACTGAGGGGGGCGCAGGGCTGTGAAGTTTGTGAGAGCGTGAAGTTCTCACCTGCTGCCAATGAGGTCCTGGAGGTTCTCGTTGTACACCTGCATCATGGAGAGCTTCACGGTCCACACCCTGGGGGGGGGGGGGCGACCGGCGTCACCAGGCCGGTTGCGGGTGACGATAAGAACTGGATGCCGCCGCGGCGTGTCCAGCGGTGTAGAAAATTTTTAAATCGCTCCGGTCCTGTGAACAATCGGCTCGGCTGCTGCCCTCAAACGCCTCCACAAAGACACTGCAGCCCCAGCCACGGCAAAATTTGCCCAGACCTTGGAAGCCAAAAAAAGGCAAGCGGCGCGCACGGCCCCGCAACACCAGGCACGCCACGACCGCGCGTGCCAAACTGGAGGGGCCTCCGCCGCCAGCTGATGATCAAGCCAAGCCCCACCTGTCGCTGCGCCTCTTGACCTCCTCAAACAAACCCCCACCTGTCAGTCGCTTCATGATCCCCTCAAACAAAGAGCCTCCCACCTGTCGGTGCGCCTCCTGGTCTCCTCGAACAGCGCCTTGACCGTCCGCTGCACCAGCCCTTCGTCGCCGGCGCTGTCCCCCATCATGGTGTGGGTCTTGCCGCTCCCCGTGACGCCGTACGCAAACACCTGCGACCCCATTGCGGCGTGATGATTTCGTCCATCGACGCGGATCAGTGTTGTTGTTGCGACGTGTCGGTGCGGATGCTGCTTGTTGAATGGCGTGGGTCGCTGCGGGCCCACGCAATTCCGTGCACGGGGTGCCGCGGCTGAGCGCACGGACGGACAGCGCCCGCCCGCCCCGCCGCCCAGCCGGCGTCCCCGCTGCCGCCGCCGCCGCCGCACAGGCGACACAGAAACAGGTGGGGCTGCGGGGTGATACTCCTAGATTCCGCAGACACCGCCGCCCGCGGTATCGAGCTCACCGTGGTGTGCATCCCATTCAGGAGGGGCTCCAGGTCCACCAGGGCTGCAAACACCTGCGCTCGGGGGCAAAGGGGATCATTTTGCATTTGCATTTGCATTTGCATTTGCATTTGCATTGGCATTGGCATTGGCATTGGCATTGGCATTGGCATTGGCATTGGCATTGGCATTGGCATTGGCATTGGCATTGGCATTGGCATTGGCATTGGCATTGGCATTTGCATTTGCATTTGCATTTGCATTTGCATTTGCATTTGCATTTGCATTGGCATTGGCAAAGGAAGATCGGACGAGGGAATCGCATCCGCGCGCGCCGCGCACGGCGGGCGGGGGCGGGCGCCGGCGGCGCGGCCGCCCATCGGGCGACGGGCCGCCCGCTGCCGCCGGCGCCCCGGGG